TTGGCGTTTTTTGGGCGTGTGGTTGATGAGAGGTGGGTGGGGCAGGTGTGATGCTCAGGTGCAGTCTAAGGTGTGGTGGCTGCGCCCCTTTAACTACACCGACACATCAATTGGGAGCGTACCTGTGTTGGCCAGGGACGTGTTGCTAGTCCATGGAACGCTTCTCCCCCCTCTCTCCCTCTCTTCCTCTCGCCCTCCCTCCCTCTCTCTCCCTCCCTCTCTCTCTCTCTCTCTTCTCTACTCCTTCCCTCCCTCCCTCCTTCCCTGCTCTACTCCCTCCCTCCCTCCCTCCTTCCTCTACTCCTTCCCTCCCTCCCTCCTTCCTTCCCCCCTTCCTCTACTCCTTCCCTCCCTCCTTCCCTCCCTCCTTCCTTCCTTCCCTCTTTCTCTACTCCCTCCCTCCCTCCCTCACTCCTTCCTTGCTCTACTCCCTCCCTCCCCCCTCTACTCCCTCCCCCCCTCCCCCCCTGCTCTATTCCCTCCTCTACGCCCCTGAACCCTCTCCTTTTTTCCCTCCGTCCCTCCGAAACCACAACTCGGTTTTCAGGTCTGCCCACACTAAACTCGCCCATTTTCGCTCGTCTCTCTCTCTCTATTTTCTCTCTGTTTTCTTTCTCTTCTCTTTCGTTATCCTCTGCCTCCTCCTCTCCTATGTGCTCTTCCTCCTCCTCCTCCTCCTTTCTCTCCTCTCCTTTTCTCTTCCTTTCTCCCTTTCTCTCTCCCTTTCTCTCTCCCTATCTCTCTCCCTATCTCTCTCTTCATTCTTATCCTGCTCCCTCTCTCTCTCTCTCACCCTCCATTTCATCCTCCCCCCCCTCCCCCCGCGTCCTGCTCTCTCTTCATCGCAAGGCTCTCTCCATCAAGAAACACTTCCACGCCCCCACAGCTCCAGCTCTCCACACATCCTGCTTTAAAACGGACATAGGACACAGAAGGGTTGCGTGAAGGCTTAATCATAACGAAAAATCGCCTCTCCCCTCATGTAGGAGCACATCAGTGACCGCATTAAACTCTACGGGCTGGCAACCCTCTTTTCAAAATATACGCACACTCCCCCCGAACTACAAGGGTTTATAATTTGAATTTGAGTCAGGATGATAGTGATGCTTGTTCTTAATATATATATATATATATATATATATATATATATATATATATATATATATATATATATATATATATATATATGTATATATATATATATGTTTGTATGTATGTATGTATATACATATATATATATATATATATATATATATATATATATATATATATATATATATATATATATATATATATATATATATATATATATATATATAATATATACATATATGTTTGTGTGTGTGTGTGTGTGTATTTATTTATATGTACAGTATATGCATATCTTTATGTAATTATGTGTATACTGTATGTACTTGGTATATACCATATTTTCTGTATGTATCTGCAGGCGTTTATGTAGTCCTATATATTTTTTTGCCAGTCTTTAGATCCTCACTCAGTTTTCGACAGGTGTTTAGCATGAACCTGAATCCTCCCTCTCTCCCTCCTTCTCGATCTCTGCATTTCACCTTTCCCTCTTCGTTCCCCCTTCCTCCATCTCTCCTTCCTTCCCTCCCTCCCTCCCTCCCTCCCTCCCTCCCTCCCTCCCTCCTTCCATATCTCCCTCCGTCCCTCCCCTCCTCCTTCCTTCCCTCTCTCCATCTCTCCCTCCCTTCCTCCATCTCTCCCTCCTTCCCTCCTGCCCTATCTCCATGTCTCCCTCCTTCCCTCCCCTCCTCCTTCCTTCCTTCCCTTCCTCCATCTTCCCCTCCTTCCCTCCCTCCCTCTCATCCTTCTTCCCTCCTCACCTCCTTCTCCCTTTCCCTCTCCCCCGCGTCTCTCCCGGGATCAGAACCAGCATCTCACGGAAGGATGAGAGCCCATTGTCTTATAGCCTCATGCTTACAATCTCTCTCTCCTCCCTCCCCTTCCTTCCCCACCGCCCCCCCCCCTCCTGCCCTTTTCTTTCCCCACCTTCTCTTTCTGGTTTCCTTTCTTTTCACCTCCTCCTTTTCTTCTTCTTCCTCCTCCTCCTCCTCCACCCCTCCCGTCCCCTATTCTTTCCCCCCGTCTTTTTTTTTTCCTCTTCTCCTCCTCTTTCCCCTTCTCTTCTCTCCTCCTCCTCCTTCTGCCTTTCTCCTCCTTTTCCCCCCACCTTTTCTCTCCTTTTCTTCCTCCTCCCCCCTCCCCCCTCTTCCTCCACCCCCTCTTTCCTCCCCACCTTTTCTCCCCTCCTCCTACCGTCCTCCTCCCACCCCCTCCTCCTCACCCCCTCCCCTCCTCCTCACCCCCACCCTCCTCCTCACCCCCACCCCCTCCTCTTCACCCCCTCCCCCTCCCCCTTCCTCCCCTTCAGCACCTTAGGTCAAGTCTTTGTTTCCGCTGAGGAGGAACGTTCAGGGTCGTGACTCCGACTTGTCAGGAACGGCCAATAGGAAGCGGAGGTTTCCTGCGCGTGACCTGCGACTTGGCCTCTCGCGGACTCCTTCGCTTTGGTCGCTGGCGATTTGGTTGTTGGTGTTGTTTTGTTGTTGTTGTTGTTGTTGCTGTTTTTATTCTTGTTATTGTTATTGTTGTTTTTTTGATTTTGATTTTTTTGGGGGGTATCTTGTAACTTCGCTTTCTGTACTCTCTCTTTCCTTCTCTCTCTCTCTCTCTTCTCTCTCTCTCTCTTTCTCTCTTCTCTCTCTTCTCTCTCTCTCTCTCTCTCTCTCTCTCTCTCTCTCTCTCTCTCTCTCTCTCTCTCTCTCTCTCTCTCTCTCTCTCTCTCTCTCTCCCTCTCCCTCTCTCTCCCTCCCCCCTACCTCTCCCTCTCTCTCCCTCCCTCACTCCCTCCCTCCCTCTATCTCTCCCTCCCTCCCTCCCTCCCTCCCTCCCTCCCTCCCTCCCTCCCTCCCTCCCTCCCTCCCTCGCCTCCTACCCCAGCCCCCCCCCTCCCCTCTCTGCCACTCATCCATAATCCCGTTAACATTCACCGGGGTTCCATTTCTGTTCTCTTGTTTGTTCATTTTTTCGAATCCAGTGCATGTCCGTGTAGGCTAGGGAGTGATTTTTAGAGGGTTCGCTCTCTCTCTCTCTCTCTCTCTCTCTCTCTCTCTCTCTCTCTCTCTCTCTCTCTCTCTCTCTCTCTCTCTCTCTCTCTCTCTCTCTCTCTCTCTCTCTCTCTCTTTTTCTCTCTCTCTCTGTCTCTCGATTTGATTTTTGCTGTTCATCTTTTTTTTCTTTCTTTTCTCTTTTGTCTTTTGCTCTTTTATTTTCTTATATTTCTGTATATGTTTATTTCTGTTTATGTTTTTATTGTAACTCTTTATTTCTGTCTGTCTCTCTCTCTCTCTCTCTCTCTCTCTCTCTCTCTCTCTCTCTCTCTCTCTCTCTCTCTCTCTCTCTCTCTCTCTCTCTCTCTCTCTCTCTCTCAGCAATCTCTTAGGGGAATATCTGATACACATATCTGTACACTGTTACTCCTGACGTTAAGTGAGAATGGGAACACAGGAATATAATTTTCATTCATATTTTGTTGTTGTTGCTGCGGGAGGCTGTCGTTTCAGAACACAGGTTGTAAAGAATTATATGTTCAGTGTTCAGGGTCTGAAAAACAAACCAACAGCGGGGACGTTTATCGTTGGTTGTGAATGTATGCATCGTGTGCGGGGAGATGTGTTCCTGAGGCTGTTTTTTAGTATCGCTGTTGTTGTAGATTTTGTTATCCGGGTGTTATTGTTATTAGCTTTATTGTTGTCATCATCATGGCAAATGTTTCTGTTAAGCTTAGTTGATGAGATTATTTATATCGGAAGACATTTGTATTCGAAAATGACAAACGTGATCAGTGACGTCAGAGGCTCGACGGTGATTCGATCTCTCGTCGGCGTCTTGGGTCGACAGCGTCGGGCGCCGCCCTCGGAGAGCGGAGGGGCGGCCGCCTTGAAGCCCTTAGGATTACAAGGCTGAGGTCCTGCTCGCTCGATATTCAATTTGGGTGTCAAGAAGAAGCGTTGGGCGCCGGGACTAATGACCAGCCGGCCTCCGCCACTGCTGGAAGTCGTTAGCACTTTCGGAAAAGAAAAGGGATAAAAAAACCCAGGTTAAAAAAGTTCCTCTTAAAGTTTTATGTATTTTGAAGAGCTGGGAACTGAATAGTGGCCGCGTCCATTAATGGCTGGGTGTACGCCTGCGCACGCGCGTGTGTGTTCTGAGTCACGCATTCCTGCACACACACACAAACACACGTATACGTACACGCACACTCACTCTCACTCTCTCGCTGACACTCATACTCACAATCTCACTCACACACACACACACACACAAACACACACACACACACACACACACACACACACACACACACACACACACACACACACACACACACACACACACACACACACTCGCACTCGCACTCGCACACACACGGCGGAGCTGCCTTGTTGCCGTGAGACAGCGAGGTCAGGTGGCTGGGTGTTGGCGTGGTTGTGTGATGGTTCTGGTTGAGTGGTTGCAGGCCCAGGGTGCAGGCCGCGGGTAGCGCAGGTCAACAGACGCGCTTTGTCCGTGGCAGGTGCTGGCGGTGGTGCCCCTCGCCGACGCACGCGGGGCACTGGTGGGCTTTGCGTCGGGGGTTGCTGTACCTGGTGACTCCCTCGGGGTTGTCTGTTTGTGTTTTTTCTTTTCTTTTCTTTTCTTATCTCTCTTTTTTTTTCTTTCTTTCTTTCATTTTTCTTATTTTCTTTATATCGTTTATTTGTTTTTTTTCTGTTTTTCTTTTTCTTTCTTTCTTCTTTTTTTCTTTTTCTTTTCTTTTTCTTTCTTTTCTATTCTTTTTTTTTCTTTCCCTTTTGCTATCTAATTTGTTTTATCTGTTTCTTAATCCGATTATTGAGTTGATGCTATCATATCTATTGTTTTTTTTTTCTTCTCTCTCTCTTTTCGCTCTATTTCGTTATTTCTATTTCTTTGTGTGTCCAATTATTAATCGGATTCTCTCATATATTTTTTTTTTTACTTTTTTGTTGCAGAAAATTTGGTTAGATGGATCGTCGGTTTTTCTCTCGTTGTCTTCCATTTACGAAAATTGTTTGTGATTGTTTCGTTGCAATTTTCCACGCCGTCATTAACGTGCTTGCTTCTTCCGTCATCATCTTATTCGTTCGTTTTCATCCTTTCTTATGTTCTTTCTCTTCTCCTTCATTTTTCTCTCCAATTTAATCTTCTTTCTCTTCTTTTTTTCCGTTCTTTTCCATCTCCTCTTCATCCTCGTCTTCCCCTACCTCTTCCCTCCTCCTCTACCTTCTCTTCCCTACCTTCCTCTGCTTCTCCACTCCTCTACCACCTCCTTTTCCTCTTCTTCCTCTACCTCTTCTACCTCTCTACCTGCCCCCCCCCCCACTTTCCTCATCTCCCCCTCCAGCTTTCCCCTCCTTCTCCCCTACCTCCCCGCTTCCCCCTCCTTCTCCCTTACCTCCCCTCCCGTTGTCCCCTTCCTTCTTCCTTATCCCCTCCCGCTTCCCCCTCCTTCTCCCTTACCCCCTCCCGCTGTCCCCTCCTTCTTCCCTACCTCCCCGCGTCCCCCTCCCTCTCCCTTACCCCCTCCCGCTTCCCCCTCCTTCTCCCTTACCCCCCACCCATTTACCTCTCCTCCATAGCACGTGGCCCCACCTTCCCCTTTGTTCCACGTGTACCTTGCGTTCGCGTCGTTCCATCGTTCCATTGTTCAGCCTCACGCCCTCGGAGGGAGAGCATGAGATCGAGGCAGTCACGTGACCTATAGTATTGTTCCTGCAGAGGTCCTCGCTCGTGGTGATGAAGATAGTGAGGAAGAGGAGGATGGTGATGGTGACAGCGGGGTGAGCAGTATGGTGGTGATGAGGAGAATGGTGATGATGATGATGATGAGGATGGTGATGATGATGAGGAGGAGGAGGAGGAGGATGGTGATGATGATGCGGAGGAAGAGGAGGATGGTGATGATGAGCATGAGGAGGAAGAGGAGGATGGTGATGATGATGAGGAGGAAGAAGATAGTGATTGGGAGAGGCTAGATGTTTTGAGGAAGCGTGATGAGCATAAGATGGTGATGATGATAATGAGGAGGAGGAGGTGGATGGTGATGGTGAGAGGCTGTAGGATTTGAAGAAGCATGATGAGCATTATGATGGTGATGATAATGAAGTCGGCAGCGGCAGGACGTACAGCGCTGTTGATGTTAATGCTGGTAACACGGAAGACAAGCTGCATATTTGTAATTACCACCACATAGTTGCGCGCAATTACCGCAACATAACACAAGCCACATGGGGACCGAGGCGACACGACCGCATGAGGAAGCCTTGGTTATTGGTCACATGATTCTCCGCGATGCTACGAGTTGATGATCACAATGAATATGCTAATGAGGGTGACGCCGGGCGAGGAGGCGCATCTCTCTTGTTTGTTCTCGCTTATCCCTTTTGAAATGGGACTGGTGTTATTTTTTTTATTCGTTTTAGTGGAGGAACGGTGTTTCTGGGTGGACCGAAGTCTTCTCCAGTCTGGAATGTTTTTTTCTCATTCCTTCTCTTATTCCTTCTCCTCTTTCTTCCTTTTTCTTCTTACCCTTTCCCTTCATCGTACTTCTCCTCCTTCCTTTCATCTTCCTTCTTATTCTCCTTCTTCCCTCCTCACTTCCCTTCCTTCTCTTCTTCCTCCTCCTCCTCCCCCTCCTCCTCCTCCTCCTCCTCCTCCTCCTCCTCCTCCTCCTCCTCTCCTCTTTTCCTCCTCACCTTCCCTGCTCCACCTCCTCCTCCTCCTCCTTATCCTCCTCTACCTCCTCACCTCCTCCTCACCTCCCTTACTCCTCCCTTCCCTCCTCTTCCTCCCTCTGGGGGATCCTTCTGTGACCCGCATTGCATGACTAATGTTGCAGTGTGAGGCACGGCATGCAAATAAAGCCTTGCTGACATTGGCCACCAGGAATTAGCTTGGTTAGATGGCAGGTATGGAGTCCACCTTCTTAGCATATTTTGGTTGGGGCCAATTGGAGGACGTTTTTTAAAGCGCTTCTTTGGTATTTTGGTTTGAGTGTGACGTTTTCGAGCTTGTCTCTTCCCTTCTTCGCAGCCCTCAGCCTCTCTTCATGTCGCTCATGCCTCTTCCTCATTCCAGTCTTCCTGTTTCTGCATGAGAACCTGTGGCAGAGTGAGCGTCCAATGCTCTCTCTCTCTCTCTCTCTCCCTCTCTCTCATCCTCCCCTCCCCCTGTCTCCTCTCCCACCGCGTCCCTGTCCCCCCTCTCCCTCTGTACCGCTCTCCCACCCACTCTCTCTCCCTCTCTCTCTCCCTCCCTCCCTCCCTCCCTCCCCTCCCCTCCCCTCCCCTCCCCTCCCCTCCCCTCCCCTCCCCCTGTCTCCTCTCCCACCGCGTCCCTGTCCCGCTCTCCCTCTCTACCGCTCTCTCCCACCCACTCTCTCTCCCTCTCCCCCCCTCCCTCTGTCCTTCCCTCCTTCCCTCCTGCTCTCCTTCCCTCCTCAACCTCCTCGAGTGTGAGTCGGAAGCGAAGTGAAGTGACCGGCCGTGGCCAGGACAAGAGAGGGATGCAGAAGCCGGCGATCGGGACACGTGGATCAGAAACCAATGCGGCACACGCCCCCATCGCCCAACTGCGTCTCCGATACCGTGCGGGCGACTTCGGCTTCCGACTCCGGCCTTGAAAGGGTGGGGGGCAGAGAGAGGGTAGGGGGTGAGAGGAGAGAGAGCGAAAATAGAAATATATATTTGGAGAGATGACTGTTTTTTTTTTTAATTTAAAATTGGATAATATTTTTTGTTGTTGTTATTGGAGGGTGGATATATATATATATATATTTTTATTATTATCCCGGGGGTTTGCATGTTTCACTTTGGGATGTCGCGCGGTCATTGTCGTGGCTCTGGCCTCGGCTTGGCGTGGGTCGGGAGGTGAACTGGACGCGCCGGACGGGGAAGTACTAAGTCCTTCCTGGTGTCCCTCGTCTGCCCCTTCTTTGCTCACCCTTCCCTCGCGCGCTGTGTCTGTCGTCTGTCGCCCTCGGCTTCGCCCATCCCTTCAGGGCTCTTCGCATCCCGTCTCTCTGTTTGTCACGTTGGTATGTTTGTTTCTCTCTTCGTCTCTCTCTCTCTTTCTCTCTCTCTCTCTCTCTCTCTCTCTCTCTCTCTCTCTCTCTTCTCTCTCTCTCTCTCTCTCTCTCTCTCTCTCTCTCTTTCTCTCTCTCTCTCTCTCTCTCTCTCTCTCTCTCTCTCTCTCTCTCTCTCTCTCTCTCTCTCTCTCTCTCTCTCTCTTCTCTCTCTCTCTCTCTCTCTCTCTCTTTCTCTCTCTCTCTCTCTCTCTCTCTCTCTCTCTCTCTCTCTCTCTCTCTCTCTCTCTCTCTCTCTATATATATATATATATATATATATATATATATATATATATATATATATATATATATATACACATACATATATTACGTCCTTAGTATCTTCATTTCCAATTCCATTTTCAATTCCGCTCCCTTCCTCTCCCACCTCCTCCCCACTCACTCACCTTTCCATTTTTCTCCTCCCCATTCCCTCCTGTTTGCCTCCTTCTCCTCCTCCCCAGCACTCATTTCACTCTCTCTCTTCCTCCCCGTTCACTCCCCTTTCCCCCTCTCTCTTCCTCTCCCCCTCCCTCTTACCTCTCCCCTCACTCGTCTCCCCTCCCTACTCCCTCTCCTCTCCCCTCACCCGTCTCATCTCCCTACTTCCTCTCCTCTTCCCTCCCCCTTGCCTCTCCTCCTCCCCACTCCCTTCCTCCCTTGCCTCTCCTCCTCCCCACTCTCTTTCCCCCTTGCCTCTCCTCCTCCCCACTCCCTTTCCCCCTTGCCTCTCCTCCTCCCCACTCCCTTTCCACCTTGCCTCCCCCCTCACCCGTCACCCCTCCCTACTCCTTCTCCTGTTCCCTCCCCCTTGCCTCTCCTCCTCCTCCCCGCTCCCTCCCTCCCTTGCCTACTCCAGATGCAGCATTTGTCCTGTTCTCTTTCCCCTCACGCCCGGGTCCCTCCTGCTACAGTGGTCGGAGAGGAGAGGATTAGTGGTTATGGGGAGGTCGGGTTCGGAGAGGAGAGTGAAGGCGAGAGAGAGAGAGAGAGAGAGAGAGAGAGAGAGAGAGAGAGAGAGAGAGAGAGAGAGAGAGAGAGAGAGAGAGAGGGGGGGGGGGAGGTGGAGAGGGAGATAAGGAAAGGGAGAGGAGAGTGAAAGATAGAAATGTATAGAGAAGAAGAAGAAGAAAAGAGAGAGAGAGAGAGAGACAGAGACAGAGACAGAAAGAAAGAAAGAGAGAGGGACACTAAGAAAGAGATTTAGAGTAAGAAAGAAAAAGAGACTAAGAGAGAAAGTGAGTGAGGAGAAAAAAAAAGGGAGAAAGAGGGAGGGAAAAGAGATACGGCAGTCACGGCCTAGTCACAAGAGAGTCCGCGCGGTCGGCCGGAAAGCCTTTAATGGTCGTCAAAGTGCCATTGAGGTGGACCTCGAGTGCTCAAGTTTCTTCCTTCTCGAGACAGTGCTTAATTAGAATGCCTCGCAACCTGACGCTGTTTTCCTCCTGCTCCTCCTCCTCCTCCTATTCTTTTCTCCTCTTCCTCCTCTTTCTCCTCCTCCTCTTCCTCCTCATCATCATCATTCTCCTCCTCCTCCTCATCATCATCATCATCATCATCATCATCATCATTCTCCTCCTCCTCCTCCTCCTCCTCCTCCTCCTCCTCCTCTCACCGTTGTCATTTTCACGCTCGCTGTTGGGCGTCTCGGGAAGTACGCCCACAGAACACGTTTACGGAAATGCAGGGGGAGGGGGGTGCTAAGTGGCGCATTGATATGAAGAGATGATGGAAAAAATGAAGAGAGAAATACGGACGTACTTTGTGAATGTTACGAGGTACTTGCATGTCCTTACCCACAAAAGGGGGGAAATGGTGATCCGCCCCTCCTTCTTCTTCTTCTTCCTTTGCCTCTTTTTTCTATCTCTTTCTCTTTGTTTTTATCTCCGTCTCTCTCTCTCTCTCTCTCTCTCTCTCTCTCTCTCTCTCTCTCTCTCTCTCTCTCTCTCTCTCTCTTTCTCTCTCTCTCTCCCTCTCTCCCTCTCCCTCTCTCCCTCTCCCTCCCTCTCCCTCCCTCTCCCTCTCTCCCTCCCTCCGTCCTTGCCCCCTTCCCCTCCCCCTTCCCCCTCCCCTCCTCTCCTCTCCTCTCCCTCTCTTTCTCTCCCGCACTCTTCCCCTCTCCCCCCTCCCCCACTCCCTCCCTCCCAGATTTCAGAAGCATGTCGGTCGTCCAGAGCGAGACCGCGGACGGAAGTAGCCAAGATTTTCCCCCGTGGCACAGAATGGATCGTATAGCAGTTACGTCTGGGCCGAAAATATTGTTTCCGGGAAGCATAAACCAGGTTTTCTTGTAAGACGCCCGATCCGCTGCCTTCCTTGGTCCTTAACCGGCTCTTTTTACTGTAATGGTGAAGCGCAAAGGAGACCGTTTGGCGCGGTCTGGTGGCGGGGGGGAAAAGGAGGGTGAGGGTAGGGGGGGGAAATAGGAGAGGGGGAGGGGAAAATGGTAGAGAGGGAAGGGAAAATGGGAGAGGGGGAGGGGAAAATGGGAGAAGGGTGGGAGTAAGAAGGGGGGGAGGGGGAAAAAGGGAGAGGGGGGAGAGAGAAATGGGAGAGGGGTGGGGGTAAGAAGGGGGGGGGAGATAAGTGGACGGTGTTAGGGGAAAGGGAAGGGAAGGTTAGGGAAATACGGGAGAGCTTAGGGGAAAGGAGGAGTTGAGGAGAAAGAAGAGGGGATTAGGGAAATAAAGGATTACGAGAAAGAAGGGCATGGATGGGGGAAAAGTGGGGAAAATTTGGGAAATTTTAGGGGGGACTTAAAGAAAAGAAAATAGGAAAGAAAGGGTTAGGGAAAGCAGAGGCAAGGGAAAAAAGGAAAAAGGGGAGACGTTAGTGGGGAGGGGGGGGGGGAGGGTTAGGGAAAGCAGACGCAAGGGAAAAGGGGAAGAAGGGAGGTGGGGGGGGGGTTAAGAAGCGAGAGGGAAACTTGTTGTTCTGGCTTAATATAATCAGGTTCAATTATCGTCCCTTTAAAGGCTAGTTGATAAGTCGTGCATAATTGTGCAATATTGGCGTGGTAAAGAGTCGGGCAAATTGCAGCCGTCGGTGATTATTTCTCCTTAGACGCTAAACAGGTCGATCTGGTTGTTGATTTATTTATTTATCTATTTATCCTGATCCTCTATTTTTAAAAGATTACTTTATTTTTTTTATTGATTGGTTATATACCGATGATCGCGAATTTACGCCGAACGGGAATGTTTTCGTTTTTTCGTTTTCTTTTTTTTTGGCGATTTCAGCGGGAGAAAAAGAAAAAAAAAATGGCGGTTTTTGGCGGGCGTGCAGATCGGTCTAGATTTTGTTATTTGGCCAATTAAGCTCCTTCCTCGGGGATCCGTAATGATTATGACCACTTGCTCCTCAGGGCTGGCGAAAGAGGGGGGGGGGGGGGTGAAGGGAGAGGGGGGGGGGAAGAAGAGGGGAAGGGGTGCGGGTGGGGGGTGGGGATAAGCGGGGCGGGGTGACGGAGGAGGAGGAGGAGGAGGAGGAGGAGGAGGGGTGGGAGAGGGAGAACTCTTTTGCCGCCTTCAACCTGTTATATATCCTCCCCCCCCTTTCTCATCCTCCCCCTCCCCCTCCTCTCCCCCTCCCCCTCCCCCTCCCCCTCCACACCATCGGTACTCCCTTCGCAAAAAAAAGTCTATTTTTAGGCGTTAATGCAAGGCTTTCGAAAAGCCATTGACTCCGCCACCTCCTCGAGCGCCGCTATGCTTCCTTTTTTTATTCCTTTTTCTTTTTTCTTCTTTTTCTTCTTTTTTTTCTTCTTCTTTTTTGAGAACTCTTCACTCCTTCGCTTCGCACTCCGCCCTCGACGCTGGTTGATGGCGGATCTCATAGATATTAAAAAAAAAAAAAAAAAAAAAAAAAATATGTACCGCTGCATCGTGGGCGTGGGCGTGAAAAGGCGTCGCTTGAGACCTGTTCGTTTTTTTCCTCCTCTTCCTCCTCCTCGCTCTTCTTCATTTTCTTCCTCTTGTTATTGCTATTGCTATTATTATGATTATTATTATTATTATTATTATTATTATTGTTATTTTTATTATTTTTATTATTATTATTATTATTATTATTATTATTGTTATTGTTATTATTATTACTATTAGTAGTAGTATCAGTAATGATCATCATTAATCCTCTACTCCTTTTCTTCTTCCTTCTTCTTCCTCCTCCTCCTCCTCCTCCTCCTCCTCCTCCTCCTCCTCCTCCTCCTCCTCCCCCTTCCATTACGTCGTATTTCAAAAGTTTTTCTCTCGGGTAGCTTTTCCTTCGGGGTGAGGGACTCAAGCACCCGATCGCGGTACTCTTTTGCTTGCTCACAGGGGCAGGGACAAGGACAGGGACAGGGGGAGGGGGAGGGACACGGGCAGGGACGGTGGCAGGGACAGGGGCAGGGACAGTGAGAGGGGCGTTCTCCAGTGGCAGGGAGAGGGGCAAGGACGGTGGCAGGGACGGTGGCAGGGGCAAGGGCAGGAAGAGGGGGAGGGGCAGGGGCAGGGACAGTGAGAGGGGCGTTCTCCAGTAGCAGGGAGAGGGGTAGGGACGGTGGCAGGGACGGTGGCAGGGGCAGGGAGAGGGGCGTCCTCTAGGGGCAGGAGTGTTTAGGTGTCCTGGGAATCTCGGGCGTGTAAGGACGTGAGGATGGAATGGTGTTTCGTGGACTCTTGGGTTTAAGAGGATATTTTTTTTTCCTCTCTCTTGTCTCCTTTTCTCTCCTCTTCTCTTCTTTTTTTTCCTTCTTCACTTTCTCTCGCTTGCTGGATTCTGTTCTCTTTCTCTCTGCCTTTGTCTGTCTGTCTCTCTCTCTCTCTCTCTCTCTCTCTCTCTCTCTCTCTCTCTCTCTCTCTCTCTCTCTCTCTCTCTCTCTCTCTCTCTCTCTCTCTCTCTCTCTCTCCCTTTCTTCCCTTTTCTATCTCGCTCTTTCAGGCATTCGTTTAATCCTCTTTTTATTTTGAATATTTATGTATACGCATTTCCCTTATCCGTATTTACAAAATAATAAACTCTATTTCTTCTCCTTTCCAGGTATGTCGACCGCGAGACACAGGAGGAGGGCGTGAGTACTAGCATAGAGGAGATAGGAAAATAGGAAAATAGGAAATATGAAATAGGAAAATTCAGGACGAGGAGCGGGTGTGGAAGTAGGAAGGTCAAGATAAATGGGAAGGAGAAGGAGAAAGAGAAGTAAAAAAGGAAAATTGGTTGATGGGGACGATGTTTAAAAGAGATTCGATAATGGTGTGTTTATGTTAGATCGGGAATTGTTGATGTGGTTATGATGATAATTTTTTTTTCTTTGAGATAGCGATGGTAATTAGTGATTAATCATGATTAGGGAATTGTTAAGACGTGTAAGGATGATGATAACAATCATGTAAAAAAAAAAAGAAAAAAAAAGAAATTGATGCTAATGATAATTACACAGACAAAGAAAATTAGGCGTCATTATTAATTCACTTACGGTGAAAGTTGGGGACCCACTTTATTAAGGAGCCTAATTCAGGAAATTTGATAATGACGACATGTATGTTAAACGCGGGAGAGAAGTACCGCCATGAAGTTTGAAGTTTGGGTGAATTAGAAGCAAAAGAAGAAGAGGAGGATTATGAGGAAGGGAGGAATATGGGATAAGGAGAAGGGAGAAGGTAAAATGGAAGGTAATAGCGGAATTATGCTTTGTAGATTTGATTGAATTTAAATATGTGATGTTAGGGATTAGGAGATATTTGCGAAGGATAGTAGGTAATATTGATTGAAAAAATAAGAGAAAATTAGGCAGTAATGATTGAAGATAAGCAAATGAAATAGCGAAAAGTAAACGAATGAGAGAGAAAAGGCAAGAACGACGTGATGAAGTAGATAGAAGTAGAAGATTATGATTAATGGGAAAGTTTTAGAAATAGAAAAGTGAAAAGTGACACTACCACAAAAAAATAAAGATAGAAAAATAGGGTGGAAAGGAGAAAGAAGGCGGAAGTAAAATCAATAATGGGCATAGAAAAAAAATACAGGAAAAAGTAGACCGAACCATATGTTCTCTCTCCCTTCCTCTCTCCCCCTCCCTATCTTTCTCTCCCTCTCCCACCTACCCCTATCCCTTCAATCCTCTCCCTCCCTTTCTCCCTATCTCCCCTCATCCCTATCCTCTCTCCCTGCTTCCCTCCCCAATCCTCCCTCCCTTTCTCCGTGTCTCTCCCTATCCCTCCCCATCCCCCTCCCTCCCTCCCTTTCTCCCTGTCTCTCCCATTCCCTCCCTTCCTTTCTCCCTATCCCTCCCCATCCCCCTCCCTCTCCCTCTCCCTCTCTCCCCATCCCCCTCCCTCTCCCTATCCCTCCCCATCCCCCTCCCTCTCCCCATCCCTCTCTCCCTCTCTCCCTACATCGCCCTGGCTATCAAGACGGTCTCCGAGGTGAAGCGTCTCTAATAACACTAAGAACTCGCGGGGAAATTACCAAAACACGAAGTCTCTTAAGGGATTGGTCGCCTGAATTCCCAAACGACCTCTCAAGTGGTCTCCAGCCAACACCTCTGACGCCGCCGCCGCTTCCTCCTCCTCCTCCTCCTCCTCCTCCTCTTACAGCTCTCGTCTTCTTTCTTCTTCGTCTTCTTGTTCTTTCTTCTTGTTCTTCTTCTTCTTCCTTTCTTTTTTGGGGGGGTTGTGTTGATTTTTATTGTTCTTGTTGTTCTTTATCCTGTTTTTTTTTTTGTTTGTTTCTTTCTTATTTTTTCTTTGTGTTCGTTTTTTTTGTTTTTGTTTTTTGTGTTGTTCTGCTCTTTCCTTCACTTTCGTCTCCTCTTTCCCTTATTTCTCTCTCCTCTTTCTCCTTTTTCTCTATCCCTTCTTCATCTCCTCGAGCTGCTCTTACTAGTTCTCGTTTTTACATTTATTTCTTCTTCTTTTAATTCTCCGTCTCCTATTACTTTTAATAATCTTATTTCTTTCCTTCTCTTCCCATCCTCCTCCTCTACCTCTTATTTATCCGTTCATATCCTTCCTTTCACTTTATTTCTTTACTCTCGTTTTTGTTCTCTGTCTCTCTATTCCTGATTTCCCCGTACGTTTTCATATTTCTATTTCTTCTTCTCTTCTTTCTTTTCTCCTCCCCCTTTCTTATCGCTTTTCTCATTCCTTTCCCGTTACCCTTCTTCCCCTCCCCCTCTCCCTCCCCCTCCCCAGCCCTATCTCCATACCCCATTCCCTCCCTCCCCTACCCCCTCCCCCTCCCCCTCCCCCATTCCCTATCCCCTTTCCAGCTCACCCATTTTCCTTAGTCCATCCATCTGTGCCGTTATTCTCCACTCTCTCTTGCCTTTCCAGTTCCTCCCTCCCCCGCCCCTCCACCTCCTCAGGCTACCTAACCTTCCATCAAACCGCTTCACCCTCCCCCTCCCCCTCCTCCTCTCTCCTCTTCTCTCCTCTCCGTCCTTCCTCCCTCCTCCCCTCCTCCCTCGTCCGTTCCCTATCCATCCCTCCCATCTCTCTCCTTCGTCGTACCTCCCTCCCTCTTTCCCTTCTCCGCCCCGTATCCCTCCTCCCCCCCACCTCTCTCTCTCTCTCTCCCTATGCTTCCTCTCCCCCCCCCCTCCCCCGTGCCCTGTACGCCCACGGTTCCTCAATCAAAACTAATGAAATAATTCCATTGGGCCAAGTAACATGGGCGATATACGGAAGCAGGGCAGAACTGGGAGCTGGGAGGGGTAAGGGAGGGAGGGAGGGAGGGAGGGAGGGAGGTTAAGGAAGGGACGTAGGAAGGGAGGGAGGGAGGGGCGCCGGGAGGGGTGATAAGGGAGGGAAAGAGGGGCGGAGGGAGGGAGGGAGGGAAGGAGGGTAAGGGTCAGGGTGTTGGGGTGTTAGGACCCCCAAGAGGCGCCGCCAAGGGTGAAAATAAGGGTACATCCATAGTAACCTTCGTCTCTCAGGAAAAATTAGATATAAAAAAGGCGAGTGTGGATGGGAGGAGGAAGGGGAGGAGGAGGAGGAGGAGGAGGAGGAGGAGGAGGAGGAGGAGGAGGAGGAGGATTAGTGAAGCGCGGGAATGAGAGAAGGGGACGAGGAGGGAAACCAGGGTATAAACAAGGGTGTGGCAGGGAGAGAAAGTTAAAAAAAAGACCAGGACACACACATATATATATAAGAGTACAGAGGCACCGGTGGTATGTCCTAAAAGGGGGAAAATGGATGTGAAAGGGCAAGCGAAGGGGGGGCGTCGCGAGGTGATTTAAGTCGGTCGTTATGAATTGCAGGAAGGCGCTGATTGGCCCGAAGGATAAAGAAGTGGAGTGGTAGTGGGGCTCTTGTTGGAAGAGAGGGAGAGAGGGAAGGAGAGAAGGAAGGAGGGAGGGAGAGAGAGAAGGAGGGAGGGAGAGAGAGAAGGAGGGAGGGAGAGAGGGAAGGAGGGAGGGAGAGAGGGAAGGAGGGAGGGAGAGAGAAAGGGAAGGAGGGAGAGAGAAAGGGAAGGAGGGAGAGAGAAAGGGAAGGAGGGAGAGAGAAAGGGAAGGAGGGAGGAAGGGAAGGAGGGAGGAAGGGAAGAAGGGAGGGGAGAGAGAGAGAGAGAGAGAGAGAGAGAGAGAGAGAGAGAGAGAGAGAGAGAGAGAGAGAGAGAGAGAGAGAGAGAGAGAGAGAGAGAGAGGAGGCGAATCAGGGCCCCCCGTAGACAACGGCGTCAGGCGAGGAGGATCGGGGATAAAAGAGAGCAAGGCAGGATAACGTAATTACATCGAGCTATCAATTAGTGCGCACGGACGATAAAGGTGACATCGGTGGAATTATTCTCGGCCGTGGCATGCGCCGGGGGGGGGGGGGGGGCATGTTATTTATTTGTTTATTTATTTGTTTGCGATATGTTTGTGTTCGTTTTCTCTCTCTCTCTCTCTCTCTCTCTCTCTCTCTCTCTCTCTCTCTCTCTCTCTCTCTCTCTCTATATATATATATATATATATATATATATATATATATATATATATATGTATATATATATATATATATATATATATATATATATATATATATATATATATATATATATATATATATATATATATGTATATATATATATGTATATATATATATGTATATATATATATATATATATATGTATATATATATATATATATATATATATATATATATATATATATATATATATATATATACGTATATATATGTATATATGTATATATATTTCTCCATTGCTCTCCTCCCTTCCTCCCCTTCTCCCTCCCATCCACCCACCCTCCTCCCCCCATGTCCAGGTAGAGTATGTGTACGAAGTGTTGCCTCGACCTATAATAGTTTTTAGTATGATATCGCTCAGTGTTCCCCATCGGCCGCTTTGATATATAAAGCGTAACACTGGTTCATGGGCGGAATCCGGCGCTGTATATTGCAACATCGTAATATAAACAGTATCATGCAAGGCGCTTTATGCACTCACCCACTCATCAGTTCCCATGGAGGGAGATGGGAGGGGGAGGGGAGGGAGGGAGGGAGGATGCGTGGGTGAAGAAGGGAGGGGGGTGGGAGGGGAGGGAGAAGGAGGGGAGGGAGGGAGGATGGGTGGGTGAAGGAGGGAGGGGGGAAGGGGAGGGAGGGGGAGAAGACGGGGGAGGGAGGGAGAGAGTAGGAGAGAGGAAGGGAGTAAGAAAGGGAGGGAAGGAGTGAAAGATGAATATATAAATAAAAAGATATACCTAGAGAGAACGAAAGCGAGAACAAGAACAAGAAGGAGAATAAGAATAAGAGATAACGGGAATGAGAGATAGACAGAAAGAAAAAAAAGGGAAGGCCGAGGGCGTTATAGGATGCAGACATTGAAGGATCGGCTGAGCGAACGACCGCCGGAGACCGATCGCCGGTACAAAGGGACGTCCATGATATTTACTCATCATTTCCCTGTCTCATTCTTTTACGATTTTTAAAAAATTCATTTACTTATTTAGTTACTTGTTTATTTAGTTATTTTTATTTATTTGTTTTATTTCATTATTATTATTATTTTTTTTTTACATTTATTAAGTTTATTTCGTTTTTTTTTTTCTGATAATTTTGATTTCTTTTTCCTTCTTTCTTTTCGAGGTAGGAGGAAGAGAGGGAACAGTTGGAACGAGTCGGAAAGGATGGAAATGGGAATGGGAATGAGGGGGGTGAAAAAGGGGGAGGTGGGGGGGGGGAGGTGCGTCACTCGTAGGGTCATATGTTATTATTATTTACAAATTTTCCTGACGTGACGAGCAGCAATCATCCGCGGCGTGACTTATTATCCAGGGTGCAATACTCGCGCTATATTTAACATCCAGGGCGGAAAATATCTCCCGCTGTAATGGGGGGCTTAAGGAGACTATAATTTGCGTTATCAGGTTGATGTATGAGCCCGCGCGAGCAAATACTTTTGGGCATAGCGGCATATAAATCCACGGCTGGGCTGGCGAGGTTATATTCGGGAGTTATATTAATTTTTGTTTTCACATGGCCGTAGAAGATAAGCCACGGAAGGCATATAACAGGTCTGTGTACCGTGAAGTGATGGAGGAGGAGGGAGGAGGGGGGGAGGTGGTGGGTGGAGGAGGGAGAGGAAGAAGGGAAGGGGGAGGAGGAGGAGGAGGAGGAGGATGGTGGAAGAGGGTGGAAGAGGAGGGAGAGGAAGAAGGGAAGGGGGAGAGGAAGGAGGAGGAGGAGGAGGAGGAAGAGGAGGAGGGGAGGAGGGGAGTAGAACAGGAGGCGGAGGGGGGAGAGGGGTGAAGGTGGCCAAAAATGTAATTGTAATGGCGGGCGGTGTTATTGATGTCCGCTTCGGGGCCGGGACATTAAAGAGCGCACGAACATAAATGAATTGCCGCCGTGACTTCGCGTATCACTTTTTTGGGGGCGTCTTCCCTCCCTTCCCTCGCATGTCATTCCCTTTCCTTCTCTCTCCTGCCCCTCTCTTTTATTTTCCTGCCTTCCTTATCTTATCCTTGTCTATCATCTACCTCTCTTCCTCCTTCCGTGTTTCTCTGTCTCTTCACTCCCTTCATCTTGTTCCTTTATTCTAGAACTCTTTCCTCCTGTCGCGTCACTCTTTCCCTCCCTCCCTTCCTCCCTCCCTCCCTTCTTCCCTCCCTTCCTTCCTTCCTCCTTCCTTTCTTCCTCCTTCCTTTCTTCCTTTTCTCCCTCCCTCCCTCCCTTCTTCCATCCCTCCCTCCCTCCCTTCCTCCCTCCTTCCTTCCTTCCTTTTCATTCACCCCCTCTTTTATCTTTTCCATATCCCGACCCTCCTCTTATCTGTTAATTCCATCACTCTTCTTAGTCTCTTCCCTCCTTCCCTCTTGCCCCTTCCCCCCTCTCCCCTCCTTCGACAACTGAAGCGAAGGAAAACAAGATGACGTGTTCGCGACATGTTCGGCGGAAATGGCGTGACGCAGACGGGTCCATTCATCGTCATCGTCATCATATTGTCCCCAGCTTCATCGTCCTCCTCTCCCTCCTCGTCCTCCTACATCATCATCATCATCATCATCGTCCTCCCTCTCCATCCTCCTCCCCCTCCTCCTCCTCTTCCTCCTCCTCCTCCTCCTCCTCCTCCTCCTCCTCCTCCTCCTCCTCCTCCTCCTCTTCCACCTCATCATCACCATCATTCATCATCATCATCATCATCATCATCATCATCATCATCATCATCATCATCATCATCATAATAGTTGTTATATTTTTCTCTCTCCGAAGAAAAAAATATATATGAATATTAAAGGAAAGAGAGAGAGAGAGCGAGAGAGAGAGAGAGAGTGCGAACGCGTTTGAACTGTCTGAACATGTTAACGTGAGCGTGAAATAATGTGATTAGCGCAAGCCATTTTTTGAACATTTGCATGGAATGTTGATTAGGTCGACTGCGAGGACGAACTAAAAGATGTTAATTAGGATGGATAGAGAGAAAGAGAATGAAAAAAAAGAGAGAAAAAATAATGGACTTATTATCTTTGTTTAAAAAGATATTTATGGGCATTGTAAGTTTTTTTTTTCTTTTTCGTTTTTTTCTTTTTCTTTTTCGGAGAAGGATTATTTAAAAAAGTGAAGTTCGCTGAAGAACAGAACCATGGCGAGGAATGTTTTATAGATAACAGAACTTCTTGACAAGCTGGTAAATCACTCCATTTTCTGCGTCTTTGTGTTTGTATGTGTGTATATGTATGTGTTTTTCTTTGTATGTATGTGCGTTTATGCAATTTGTATACTTCTTTCTCTCAGTTCGTCTATGTATATTCATGAATGTATGTACGTGGTTATGTATGTGAACCCAAACTGTGGACTCGCCATGCATTCCCCTCTCGTGCATGACCGCGGGATTAACGCCCTTACGTCTTGCAATGGGGATGTTGCTCGCTTGCAATCCAGAATGCAGCGCGACGTACTCTGGATAGCATCAGGCTCGATCATGCGTTAAAAATCTAGCTTGTGTTTCTGGCTCGGGAGGAAGAAGGGAAGGAAGGGAGGGAGGGAGGGAGGGAGGGATGGACGGAGGGAAGGGAGGGAGGGAGGGAGGGATGGACGGAGGGAAGGAAGGTGGGTGGGAGGAAGAAGGGAAAGGGAGATGCTGTATAGAGGGAAAATATGAAGATAAAAGAGGGGAAAAGGGGGGGGTAGGGGATTAAAAAAAAAAAACAAAGAGAAAGAGAAAGATAGAGAGAAAGAGAAGGCGATCGGAGCTTTGCGATTTTTTTAAATTCATTTTTTGATAATTTTGATAATTTCCTCCTTCGCTCTCTCTCTCTCTCTCTCTCTCTCTCTCTCTCTCTCTCTCTCTCTCTCTCTCTCTCTCTCTCTCTCTCTCTCTCCCTCCCTCCCTCCCTCCCCTCCCTCCCTCCCTCCCTCCCTCCCTCCCTCCCTCCATTTTTCCTTTAAAGGCGCATACTCGCTCTTTGTGGCCGCCATGCCATTCCCCGTGTATGCGGCGTGTACATCGGCTGGCAATGGGATTTTATGGCTCTGAGTCCTTGGTTAATTCATGCATTCATTGGTGTGGGGGTGGGGGTGGGGGTGGGTGTGAGCGTGTAAATGTGCAAGTGTATGGGGGGGGGAGAGAGGGAGAGCGAGAGGGAGAGGGAGAGGGAGAGGAGAGGGAAAGAGAGAGAGAGAGAGAGAGAGAGAGAGAGAGAGAGAGAGAGAGAGAGAGAGAGAGAGAGAGAGAGAGAGAGAGAGAGAGAGAGAGAGAGAGACATGTGTGCGCAAGACATGCATCCATACATAAACACAATGAGCTTTACACATAAGCATATCTACACACATACGAACAGACAGACAGATAGATTTGTTAATGGGTTAATTAAATAATAGAATGCGCGTGCGTGTGTTTCCTTTGGGGCATCAGTCATTTGCTTGTGTGACGTGTATGGCAACACAGTCGTTTTAATATGCATGCATGCACGTGATGACTGTCCCCGGGCGCATGAAATGATCAGGAACGGCAGCGCGACCTTCATATTTATCAGGGACGCCAACACGATTAATATAACTATGAGCGATATCAATATAGCGCGTGAAATTGCCGCGAGCACAGAGCCGACAATAACACGACAGGAGAACCAAAATAACGCCTGTCCCGCGTCAGGGCTGCCAACCAACACGCGGCATATTGTTGGGGGTCAGGACTATGGGAGTGCCAGGGGTGCCAACTGACTGACCCCACCCGCAACCCCCAGAGGTCCGCGTGCCCCGGGGAGTGACAGCGACGCGGCGGCCGGACGAGGTTACGCGCGCGCCGATTGGGCAAAACATTATTATTCAAGCATTAAGGAAGGCAATTATCTTCGGCAAAGTCAATTATTCGCCGGTAAACCTCGCATAATTGACAGCATGATGGAGACGCTAGTGACGTGGGAGGGGGGGGGCGTTAGGGGAGGGGGGGGAGGGAGGGTTAGGGGAGGAGGGGAGAGGGAGGGTAGGAGAGGAAGGGTGATTGTGCAAGGTTTTGTTGGGGGGGGGGGGAGATTTAAGGGGAGAAGGAGAGGGGAGGGAGAAGAAGGGATGAAATGGGGGGGAGGGTGGAAGAAGGATGATGATGAGGGAGGGAGGGAGAAGGGGAGAGGTTTAGGAGGGGGGGGAGGGGATTATGAAGTTGAGGAATATATGACAGTCGAGAATGTAATTGTTGGCGCTACTGTTTTTGGTGTGTGTGTGTGTGTGTGTGTGTGTGTGTGTGTGTGTGTGTGTGTGTGTGTGTGTGTGTGTGTGTGTGTGTGTGTGTGTGCGCGTGTGTGTGTGTGTGTGTCAAGCAACTGGAAGCAGTGATGGAGCACTACGTTACTTTGTTATATTAAGCCTTCACAGTGTGTTTGTTCTACCTCTTTTTTTTTTGGTGTTATTGTTTCATTTTTGTTTTTTGTTTCTATACGAATCGCCAGTCCAGATACCGGGCGGGACCTGTTCTTCGAATTCATCAAGTGAAGATTTGATGACTTGATGGAAAAGATGCGGAGAGGAGGAAGAAAAGGAAGAGGGGGGGGAGAGGTTGGAGAAGATGGGGAGGGGGGGAAGGAGGGAGAAGATAGGGAGTGAGGAAGAAGAGAAAAATGGGGACAGGAGGAAAAAGAAGAGGATAGGGGCAGGAGGAAAAGAAGAGGATGGGGGAAGGAAGAAAAAAGAGGAAGTGGGGGGGAGGAGAAGAGGATAAGGAGGAGAAGGAGGAAAGAAAGGATGAGGAGGAGGGGAATTTAAGGAAAAAGAAGAGGGTAAGGAAGAGAGGAAGAATAGGAGGAAGAGACGTGGCAGAAGGAGAATAGAAATGGATGGGGAGGAAGAAGGAGAAGAGGATGACGAGGAGAGGAAGAAGAGGCAGATTAATACCTTATCATCTCCTTGTTCCCGGCTGCGTAAGGCCTATGTTCCTCTCGTGGCAGATTTGGGGGGGGGGGGGGTTGCTGACGGGGTAGGGGTAGGGGTAGGGGGGTTATGGCAATCCCTAGTCGCCCTTCCATCGGCATATGGATAATTCCGAGGCCCTTGATGTGTCAGTCATGCCTGTGGGATTGTTTTAGCCTCGTTCGCCCCCCCCCCCCACCCCCGCGGATTTCGTTTCGTTCGATAGGTTTTCTCTCTGTGTCTCTCTCTTTTCTCTCTTTTCTTTTTTTTCTCTTTTCATTTTTCTCCTTTTCTCTTTTCATTTTTCTCCTTTTCTCTTTTCTCTTCTCTCTCTTCTCTCCTCTCTCCTCTCTTCTCTCTCTCTTCTCTCTCCTCTTCTCTCTCGTTCTCTCTCTCTCTCTCTCTCTCTCTCTCTCTCTCTCTCTCTCTCTCTCTCTCTCTCTCTCTCTCTCTCTCTCTCTCTCTCTCTCTCTGTTCTTCCTACTCTATCTCCACCCTTTGTCTCTTATCCGTTCCGTTCCCTTGGTTTTCGGCTCTCATTCTTTATTCCCCTTATTTATTTCCTTTCCTCCCCCACCCTTCCGCATCCTCGCCGTGTCCCCTCTCTCCTTCCTTATCCGCTTTTCTCCCCTCATTCCTCCCTTCCTTCCCTTCCTCATAAAGACCCGGCGAGTGTGTATGAGGGTGAGTGCCATTTCTTCTCGATGCTGGAAAAAAATAACATTCTACCATAGGCTACCATAGAGTATGATGGTTTGAATTACATTTAATGTCATATTGCTTAGTGCCACAGTGCCACAGGTTGTCCCCCCTTTTTCGTCTGGTCCGCTTGTGGTCCTTCCTCTACCTCCCCCCCTCCCATGTCCCCTACCGTGGCACCGTATGGAATTCTGTATGGCACTGTTATTTAGCGTAAGGGAGGGAGGGAGGGGGGGGGGAGGCAGGGAGGGCGGCGGCAGCGATGTTTACCTTGGCACTGGGCTAAACATGGCTCGAACATTCCCACTTTTCATATTCAGTGCCAGCTCCCACTTCCCGAACACGTCCCCTGTGGCCTTGCTCGGTTGGCTTAGGCCTTGTTCTGTGGGGAGACCGGTTTTAATATGTCTTAATAATATTTGCTTTTGCTGTCGTTTTAGAGGTTTTTTTTTTCTCCTGTTCTTTCTTATTGTTATTATTCGTGATTTCCTTTTCTGATGTTTTATTTGTATCTCTTGGGTTGTTGTTTTTAGGGATTTTAAGTTTTTTTTCTCTCTCTCTCTGTTTTCGTCTCCCCCTTTCATTTCCGTTTTTTCATTTTTTTTTTATTCTACTTTATCCCCTTTCCCCCTTCTTACCCATTCCGTTTCCGGATTTACCCTCGTGTGTCTTGTCACCTGAAAAAAAGTGCCTGTCAGTCCTTATTTTTCCATATCTTATTAAAAAAAGAGAGAGACGAGCTTCAAAAACCGCATCCAAAAAAAAAGTAAATAAAAAGATAATCATAATACAAAAACTAATCATAATCCTAAAGACAAAAAAAGACTATCTCAGCTTACATTCCTCGTCTCCGGAGAGCTTATGTGTCTTTAAAATGTTTATGTGTCCTTTAAGGGAGAACGAGCCCCATGCTCCATGCGTCATTAAAGGGATATTGGGCCTTACTTATGGATAGGATGTTCGTTGCGCCGTTAAGAACCGGATGGATTTTACAGTAGGTGTCTCCCAAGGTCTGGGCTTCGGGTTATGATTTCGCGGACCGTTTTCGCTTTTTTAGGTCTGCTTTTGGGGGTGATTCGGTGATTTGGGGGATCTCTTTTTTTAATTTTTAAGGTCTGGTGTGGGGTTGGGGGGGTTGGGGGATCTCTTTTTTTATATTTGAGATCTGGTGTGGGATGTGTTCGTGGACCTTTTTTTTTTTTTTTTTGCTTTTAAGGGATGGGTTTGGGGTAATTTCGGTGCGCGTTTGCGTTTGGCGGGCGACGTGGGGGTTGGTAGGATGGAAGGGGGGAGGTGGTTTGAGTTTCTCTTCCTCTCTGTCATTCTCTCTCTTTCTCTCCCTCCTTCCCTCCCTCCCTCCCTTCTTCCTTCCTTCCTTCCCTCCCTCCTTCTCTCCCTCCCTCCTTCTCTCCCTCCCTCCCTCCCCCCTCCCTGCCTTACGCCTTACGACCCCTCCAACTCTCCCCCAACTGTTTATTTGGATGCTTGTTTACGAACATAAAAAATATTTACGTAAATATTGAGCCCTGATTGACAGGCGTGAAGACAATGAGCCGGCGTTTTCCTGTCAGTTTTGAGCCCTTTATTATCGCAACACGGCGAGGAGTGCGCTAAGGTCGGTCGCCAATGTGGTAAGCACCTTTAAATGCGCCTTAAGGGCAGCTTATGAAGTGATTCTTGGCCCTAATTGTCTCTTTATTATTTACGAGGCGCGGCCCTGAAATTACACCTTCTGGGGCCTGAGCTTATATTGAAGCCATAATTCACGAATTTGCGGTATATCATCCCATAGCGTTATCTCATTTCTAACCTCCCCCCACCCCCCACCCCTCCCCCTACTCACCCTGTCAGATCTCTCTACTACTCCCCCCTCCCGTTGT